CCAGTGAGCTGCACCCTCCACAACTAGATTGAAGACAATGACTTGAGCTGAGCTGCAGCTGAGCTGCCAGTGAGCGGCCAGATAGCTCAGCTGGTTACAGCGTGTGCTCTTAACAACAAGGTTGCAGGTTCGACTCCTGCATCGGATGGTGGGCTGCGTCCCCCCTCCCCCTGCAACTAGATTGAAAACGGCGACTGGACTCGTAGCTGAGCTGCACCCTCCACAACTAAGACTGAAGGATAACAACTTGACTTAGAGCTGATGGATCCTGGAAAAAACACATTGTTCCCCAATAAAGCTTAAAAAAAATAAAATAAAATCCCAGGTACCACAAAAATTGAGTGAAGTTCAATTATCAAATAGGAGAATGGAATAACAGTCTAAGAAACTGAATCACTTTCTAATGGCATCCCCTAAAGACCGTAGAGAAAGGTAAGACAACAACAGATGATACGTTGCCAGTGTGTGGCCTCCCATGCTGCCCACCACATAGATAAAAACTACAGATCTAAAGGGCCATTCCTAGGAAAGCACTCCTAATAATGGGTAGCCTATTCCAGCCAGGTCAAGCTTCCCTTTAAACTGTCCTAAGAGATACCTGCTTGGGCCTGTTCCATCCCAATTTCCCAACCTATGGTCATTAGGGTCTCTGGACAAGTAAGTTTGGGAAAGACAGCGTCCTTTACCTCATTCTTAGAAATCTACAATGCACACAGATACATTAATGGCTCTGAAAAGCCATGTAGTAAAGAGGCTGGTTTATCTTTAACACCCTTGCTGACAAACTTATTTGACCCTAGAACACTCTTCCTCCAAGAACCCATGCATTTCTGATTTCATCTGACCAAAGCATACCTTAGGGATTCTAGATCTAGTCAGGTGAACCCCATCCTGCTAAATAGGTGCCACAAACTACTAATAAACCTTCTTGGGCTCATGGTGAACTGAGCTCAAACTCTCAATGAAGGCAGTGGATGCATGAGCATCAGGATTGAGCATTTTCTATGCCATTGAAAAAGCAGAATACAGGACCCTTTGGTTCCCTTCACTTTATCTGTTGGGTGTTTATCACATGCTAGGACTGTGCGAAGCTGCGTTTAAATATATCCCAGTTAATCTTAAAAGTAACCACTTACAAATAGACACTGTTATAACATCTGTTTCATTAGAGAAAGGAATTGAGGCTTATCACTGTCATAAAGTGGCTGGGCCACAGTGTGAACCAGGTGTGACACCAAAGTCCAAGCTCTTAACCACTGACCTCTACTGCCTCCTTAGAGAAGAGAGGATAGAGTTTATATGAATGTTATTAGAAACAGGTGGCAAGAAAAGACCTGTCTGACCAGTCCCAACTTTCACCTGATATGGCAACGGCAAGGGAAGGAATCAGCTCTATGCCTGGCATTCTTCACTGTGCACACCTTGCTCCAGCCATAATGATATGTTTCCCTAAAATGCTAAGCTCCGTCTGGCTTCCAGGCATATTCTGTTCCGTTTGTCCAGAATGTGTCTCTATCCCTTGGCTAACTCTACCTCATCCATCGAGTATCAGCTTATCTCTCCCTTTCTTCTGGAAGTCTTCCCTGACTCTCAGGCCTGAGTTCGGGCCCCTATGTGCTGTCACGGCCCCAATCACCCTGCACACCTCAAAGCACTGCCTGTTGACATGTTTACCTCCCACTAAACCGTGAGCTCTGAGCCCCATGAAAGCAGACTCTATGTGCATCTTGCACATACCATTTATCTGACACACAGTAGGCATTCAGTAAGTATGGAACAAGTTATAATATATAAATCAATCAAACCAAATCAAATACACACAGGGAGCACGGATCCTTCTAAGATCCGTAACTCCCCAATCATTGGTTGCAAGTTTGCAACCACTGAACAGTCAGCCAAAGGATGCTTTCTTTTTATTTTGAACATAATGGTGAAGCAGATATGCACTGAGTGAGGCAAATCTGGGTTCAAACCCCGCCTCTGTCATTAACTAGTTGGATGATCTGAAGTGAGTTCCTTTAACCTCTCTCTAAATCTCAACTTCCTCAAATGGAGATATAAATAGTGCCTACTTCATAGGGTTCCTGTGGGGTCAAATAAGAAAATGCATAATTAAGTATTCAGCTGAGGACCTAGCACTTGGTCAGTGTTCAATTAATACTAGCTATTATGGCCCTGAGAAGAAGTAAGGTGAAGATAAACCCTCTAACAAAGATAAGCTAGAAATGGTATAAAATCTCAAAGTGTAAAAAGAGAGAACCAAGTAACATATAACACACTCCTGACTTTATAATAAGGAAGGACGCTAAGCGTGGGCACTGGGTGAAGGCAACAAGATATAAAACTCAAAAAAGATGAAAGTATGAGAGCCAACTCGTTTATAACCTATTGAGTAGGCTGACAGACAAAAGAAAGTCAAAAAATGCAAATTATAAAGAGATCCTCCAATGTTTTAAGTAGCTGAATTTCTCAAAATTCAGAAACTCCAAAATCAATAACTTAAAGAAGGCTAATTCGTAACCATCTTGCTAAAACTTGAAGCTTGTCAGACCTTGAATATTTCTATTAATAATTGCTGTCCATGCAAGTAGGGAACAGTCAAAACAAGTTTACGCTAAGCTATTAAAAACTGCTCAGATTCCAGATTTGGGGAGATAATTGCTTAAATTCAAATACACTTATAATTTGGTTACAACCTTAATCGACTCCAGCTAACGTTAAGATAAGCCGGGGGAAAAAAAAAATCTTGACATTAAGTGCTAATCATAACTATGTTTAAATGATGCTAACCTAATTTCATTATATTGGACATTTAAATTTGTCCTTGAAATTTAACTTTGCAAATTTTACTCATGACATGAATTTAATCTTAGTGTGATGAACAGTATCCACACAAAATCACATCACGTACTGTGTTAGACTGTTGTGGCAAACGCTACCTGGCATTGAAGTTGTATCAAAGTGGGTCCATCTTGTGAACATTTACTTCAAGCTTGTAAAACAACAAATGACAGAAACAAAATTTCATCTTTCTACATGACCACCTCCAAAAAATACCAGAATCCTGTAATTGAACAACATTAGGTAAAATGTACTTGAAGGAAATGTACTCTTTGTTAAAGCCAAATAAAACAGAATGATCTCACCACTCGTTTCTACTACGGATGACCTTAATTGTGCAGTCTACATGAACACATTTTGTTGCAGCCCAAAAGTCATTCAAGTTTTCCCACTTCAATTTCTCTGCCATCCTGACTTGTACACACAGAGCATAGAGAAATAAAAGTCATCTATCAACAGCATAATCCTAAGGGCCGGCCGAGTGAATCAGTTGGTTAAGAGCTCACTCAAGAGTTTGAGCTCTGAGCAACAGTGGTTCGATTCCCAGCCCAAGCTGAGCTGCCAACAGGTAGCAGGATGGCTCAGCTTAAAAACAAAACAAAACAAAACAAAACAAAAAAAACAGCATAATCCTTACATCTACAGGGGAAGGCAGGCAGATATTTTTAAAGATTTTCAAGACATATGTTATCAGAAAGATACTTCAAATTCTGTACCAACTTCAACTGAAGAAATACAACATTAAAAACATCCTCTTTCAATGACATATACTTGGGATTTGTTTTAAAATACTCCAGGGGGGTGAAAAAAAAAACCTGTGGAAAAATAGATAAAATAGTATTGGCACAACACCGAAAGTTGTTGAAGCTGGATAAAAAGTACTCAAGGTTTAATATACTAGTCTCTACTGTTACACATGTTTAAAAATCCCAACCAGGGGCCGGCTGAGTGGTGCGTTGGTTAAGAGCTGGCTTGAGACCCCAGATAGCCCCGGTTCGGATCACACATATGAGGGCCAGTGACACTGCCCTCTACAGCTAAGATGCTGAACAACAGCTCAACCTGGAGCTGGGCTGCCATGAGTAGCCAGTGACGGTAGGCTGCAACCCCTGCTGCAGTGGGTTGCCATGGGCTACCGTGTGTAGCCAGCAGCCAGCGTGAGCGGCCAGCAGCTGCTGTGAGCGGCCGTCCAGAAGCCGGTGACTGATCTGCCTCGCCCGGGAAGAGCGCAATGATGGTGCCAACTTGGGCCAGTGAAGCAACGTCCTCCACAACTAGACTGAAGAACAAAAGTACAGCAACTTGTCTGTTCTCCTTCCCCCGATTCCCCAGCGCTGTTCCCCTTCCCCAATTCCCCAATAAAATCTTAAAAAAAAAAAAATTTCCCAATCATAAGAAGATAAAGAGTATTCTCTCTAAAACAAGACATATTCACCAAAGCTTAAATTTAGGTTTGTCACAATCGCAACCTAGAAACCACTAAAATACCACAGAAAGCTTTTCACCTCTCTGAAGGTACAACTCAGTCATGGACAACTGCCTAAAACTCTGTACCCAGCAAGGTTCAATCCTTCAGCCCCCGCAGCAACTCCTTTCACAAACTGGATAGAACCCCAAGTCTAATCTCAGCACCCACAGACGCTGCCTCTATCAGGCATTTCCCTCTGAAGCACTAAAAAACAATGTGAAAGGACAAATGCTTTCCTCACATTCTCAGATCATCACCCAAAAGATGGACTTGGATATAACATTTGAGAAAATTTAATTATTAAACTGACATGAGATGAATTTTTTTATATTCCTTCCTAAATCCTTACAAATAAGATTATAAATCAGCCACAACAAAGATAATAAATAAGATCAATTAAACATCATACTTTGATTAATATGAAAACAGACTCTAACAAATGACCTAAACTTGGGCGACTATTACAACTTTAAGAAATATAAATGTAAAAACTGCAGTCTCTAAAACTTAAATTATTCTCTTAACTGTCAATGAACAAATACTCCAATTAATCTAGGACAAAATGGTCATCAGAACTTTTGGGTAAAATATAAAATAGAACGAGTGCTGTATGAAAATTAAGCAATCAAAATAATGGAAGGGAAAAACACTTTCATGTCTAACCATTTTCTTAAAAAATGAGAATACTTACCAGCACCTTGTTTTCAACTTTGTCTCCCTTAACTTCCAACTTTACTTTCTTCTTCACTGCAATTTTTATCTTTCTGCCAATAACATCCTTTATGTTTTCTGCAAGAAGGGTATAGTTTCATTATAATCTTTTATTAAGAAGAAAAAAAGCATTGGGGTGGAGAGAGCATTTGGAGGAGTATTTTTGGTTGTGTTTGTTATTGTTGTTTGTCCTTTTTTTATTATTTGCTTGTTTTAATAAGACTGATAGTTATCATTCACCAAGTATTTAATGAACACCTACTTTGTGCCTTGTACTGTGTAAATATAAAAGCATATGACACAATTCCAGTCCATGTAAGGCACGACATAATCTTGCTGGGCAAACAGGATGCACACACAAGGAAAAAAAAAGGCGGGGGGGGGGGGGGGGCTGTCAGACAGTATCATGGAGCACTACACTGCATGCAGATCATAAGCACAACAGGAATTCACAAACTCCCTTGCATGGTTACCTTGGGCCCTCAGTGACATACAAACATCATTCTCTCTGAGTGCCTTGACACGAAGACTATGATATAGAGCAAAGACCTGGAACTGGGCTAACAATGTAGCCAGGGAAATGTGCTTCTTCCAAATTCATCACAGCACAACACCCCAAAGAATGGTCAAAGGCAATGGAACAAGAGAACTGAGAGACAAAGGAAGACCTGAACTTTTGGATAGTGGCAGGAAGGTGTTCCTGGGAATCCCATGAGGATCCCAAACTAGACAGATCCCAAACCAAACTCATCATCTTCCTCCTCTCACCACTATCTTCAACTTCCTTCTCTCAGACAGCCAGTCACCTACCCTCCTAGAACTCCTTCCTAAACAGCTCCCGATGCCTGGGCTTGACCCTGCATTCAGGGCCTCAGAATCTCTCACCAAGACTAAGTCCATGACCTCCAACCTATCAGCCCCTTGTCCCCTCCATAACCAAAGTGTCCCTTCCAAAACCATAGGTCTGACCATGTCACTCTTGGTCTAAGAGTTGCAGTCATTTTGGGACGAACCCAAACCTTGTAGCATGTCATTCAAGGTCTTTCGCTTTTTTTCAACTTAACTTCTCAGCACACACCTAAAGATGTAACCATCCCTGTCATTTCCACCTTCTACACCCCCAGGATTTTGCAAATATTGTTTCCTGAGATGTCCTTTCCCTATTCTCCTCCTGTTTACGTCTGAAATAGACTTGAGAATATTTACACATGGAAAGAAACTGGAAAGTTATATACAAAAAGGTTAAAAGTAACTATCTTGGGAGTGGTAATATGGGTGACATATTCTTCTCATTCTTCTCTGCACTTAAATTTTTTTAATAAAAAGCTTGTGTTACTTTCACAGTCAGAAAGATACACAGTACATTTTTAAATGCCTTGGTGGATTACCTTAAGTGAATCTACTGAGGTTTTCACATGTTTGCCATTTTGGACTGATCAGAGGGGAACTCTTGTGAGCACTTGAAATGAGAGAGAAAAGCAGTGCAAGAATTTCCCCTATCCCGGCCAAATTAGACCATTTAAAGGCCCAGAAAAATCAGATTGGGCATATACCAAAAAGTATGTGTCACTTAGCTGAAAGACGTGAGACAGAAAAGGCTCAATAAACATAAAAGTCCCATTTCCAGATAAGGGCTAAATTCAACTTTTAAAATACTATACCAAAGTACGTACTTATTTTAAGAAACATCAATACAAACCAGGTGCCTTATTTCCACTCCATTCTTCACCACCCTTTCTCTTGGGTCTGAGTAATTACCTATACTTTTCACTACCAGGTTCGGGACAACTAACTGAAAAATCTGCTACCCTCTTTAGTTACCCTTATCCCCTGGCCAGCTAAGCAAGCAGTACCTTAAACTCTCTTTCTCAGGACCTCTGGGGGCAACTCAGAGCTCTGGGTCTGTTTCCTCTTCCAAGCAGTGTTGGAAAAGTCTGAGCCTCCCAGAACTGGATGGACCACTCACTCTATCCAGCAAAAGCAGCTGATACTTATCTGAGAGGTAGGCTCCACAGGGTTGAGGAGGGAGGTGGCTGGGAGGATGAGGGGGGCGGAGCGAGCTACTTCATACCCTAAATTCGGGTAAATAACTAGTTGGTTTTTCCTTTCAATTTAACAAAAGCAGAAGCTTCTACACAAACCTAACAACTGCTTCTTTCCATCAAGATTCACCTGCAGAGTTAGAGTCACTAACGGAGGAGCGCATACAAACTCCCGCAAAGTATAGTGGCTAAATGAGGAACAGGGGGCAAATTCCTCAGATGCAGATGAAAGGGCGGTGAGAACTTCTCTTGCTCTCAGCACCATTCAACAGCATCTTACTGAGCTGGAGGCCGTGCAGTGTGCCAAGGCAGGGGACAGTAAGATACACATCACTGGGGCTCAAAACACGAGTGCAGAGACACACACGCTACATACACAGGCTTAAACGCTGGGTTTTCAGAACACTGTCCCCTTACCTCATTTTAGCTCTGCCATCTTAACCCTCCACAAAATTAAGTTAAACCCCCAAGGCATAAAATAGAGGTCCCCACCCCCCCTCCAAAAAAATAACCTCAAGGGACTCAAACAGTGGGTCACCTTGCATAGGGTACCCCACACTGGTTCCCTAAGAGATCTGGGGTGGGGAGAATAGGTAGGTTAATTATTACTAAAATAAGGCTTTTATTATTAACTCTCAATTTCCTTGCCCGAGTTTGCGTCAGTCCTGTAACCCTTTCGCTCCCAGCTCGCTAAGCGAAGCCACGCCTTGTCCGAGTCAGTCCTTAGACTACACCAGCATTTCCCCTCCGCAAGTCTGCAGTCAGGGGGGCACCTCTTGTCTGGGATTGGGGGGGGGGGTAGGAGGCGGGGCACGTGGCGAAGGAGACCCATCACGCGTTCGCAGGCGTCCTGGGCTGGACTTGCCCCGGACTTCCCCGAGTTGTGGGCAGTGGGCCGGGCGCTGTAATGGTTCTCCTCGCCTACAGAACCCCCGAGACCCAGGCAGCCATCTCCTTCCGCCAACCTTGACCCCCTGGTCACGGCGGGAGGCGGCACCCGGGCGCCGGATTCTCCCCGAGCCGGCCTTTCCGGACCTGGCTTTCCAGGCAGTCAGACTGGAGCGAACTTCCCGGCGCTCCGGGAACCTGCCCAACCGCAGTCCGACGCGGGGCGCGGGACTTGCGGGACCCCGGCCCGGGTGGGCAGCGCGGCGGAGGCCGTGAGCGCAGACGCGGGGGGGAAGCCCAGGCGCGCGGCTCTTACCTGCCAGCTCGCGGGGCACCTCGGCGCTCTCCTCGGCCATGGCTCCTCCGCGCGGGGACCGCAGGTACCGCTCGGGTCCGCGGCCCCGCCCTCTCCGAGCCCTTCGGTGTGTAGAGAGGCAGAAGCAGGGTGCAAACGGGAGGAGACGAGAAGGCCCGGCGGAGAGGCAGTTTCGCCGCGCCTCTCCCCCACCTAAATAAATAAATAGTTGCAAATCCGCTGTGGGCTTGCTGCTGCGGCTACATGACGCCTCCTAGCAGCTCCCGCGGCCGACGGACCGACGGAAGGACGGAGAGCTGGCAGGACGCTGCTCCGGCTCCCGCGGCTGCTCGGGCCGCTGGAGCGCCTCCCGATCGGCGAGCACCTACGGCCCCAGATGCCCGCGGAAGGCGTGGGAGCGGCGGCGAGGAAGGCGCGCGGCTGGGGCCGGGGTTCCTGGCGCTCCTGCAGCTCCGTTGGGCGGGGCAGCTCCTCCTCCTCGCCTCCGCCTCCTCTCCTTTTCTTCCTCCTCCCCTTTCCCTCCCCTCCTCCTCCCCGCGCCTCCTGCGTCTCCTCCCCACCTCGCGAGAGCCGCCCCTGCGCTGTCCCCTGCGGCCCCCACGCTCGGGCGCTGATTCCCCGCGCGGGACACACCCCGGGGAGACGGTGCCAGGTCCGAGGCGGCGGCGGGCTCTGCTCCTTGGCGCAGCCTACCTCCCCAAGCGCCGAAGCCCTGCGGAGATGGAGCGCGGGAGCCCGGGAGCCCTCTGCTGGCTGCAATGGCGCAGGGGCCGCCCACGCGCCGAGGGCCGGGGCATGGGAGGCTACAGATTCATGCAGGTTCTGCAGACCCGTCTGCACGGAAAACGAGTCTTTCTGGAACTCTTTCGCTCACTCTCCTTGTTCAGCCCTCCCTGTGACATGTTGTCGTTTCACCGGTGTTATTAGTTTTCCATGTCTAGCGAGCGGGAGCTAGACGAAACCCATAAACAAGAACCATATGTTGAGAAGAGACTGTGCTCCGCTGGCGCTCCGCAGTCGCTGCCTGCGATCGCAGACATTTGAATCGTGCAAGTGCCTGTCCCTCGCGGGGAACCTCCTTTAACCCCAGGGCTATTCGGGCAGTGAGCATAGTCACAGAAGCCGGAATCGGCCTGCTGACTGGGCTAATCCTACCTGGCCGACTCCCTCCGACTGCCCTGGGCTCCGCCCCAGAGATAACTTTAGGGCCAGGAACACCTGTGAGTGCCTTAATTGCTGCCTGTTTCCTAGTGGCTGAGAATATCGAGTCAGGTTGCGCTTTTAAAGGACAAAAAGAGGGGAGGGAGAGAAGGAAAAGGGATCCCCGCATGGATGGTCAAGTTTTTAACACTGCTGTCGACCTTGGGTCCCAAAAATAATCTTCAGCCCCTCAACCAGGGATTACCATCAGGACGTTTATTAATCTGGCCCCTACCCACCCTTCTAACCTCTCCCACTCCCCACTCTTAACCACCATACTCTCTCCAAGATTATTTGCATTTTGCTTTTCTCTTCCTCATCAGGTTATCTGGCTCTTATCTATGTTTCAACCCCAGCCTAATGTATACTTTCTTTATGAAGATATTCCAGGGTTTTTTCAGATCATTGTGGTGCCTCTTCAAAACCGCTAGAATGTATTGCCTGAAACACTCTTGTAGTAAGCCAACCCAAACCTTGCTTCATTGCTTGTGTATTTGTCTAGCCTTACTAAACTCTTGCGTTGTTCCCGGAATTTGGGTTTCTCTGTCTAAGTAGACTGTAGGCAGTTTGAGGGCAGGACTTCATCTCAGACTTCTGTACCTCAACAGACTTGTGCAAAATAGATGCTCGGTAAACATTTATTAACTAATTGGTTTTAGAGCTTTGGACCTCAGATTCCCTACTGTTTATCTCAAAAGTTGTCAATTTCTTTAAGCTAGACTTTCCTTTATGCATTAAATATATTTTTATGCAAAAAAAAAGGAAATATCTCAAAACGATTTTTCATTCAGCTGTGTGTTAAGGAGGATTTTTTGGCACATCCCAATGAAGTTTCAGAAATAGCCCTGAAGGTTCCACATCATGTGGTAACTCCAGAAAATAAAGACTTTTTTTTTTTTCCTGGGGTCCAGGGTGGGGAAAAGAATAAAGGAAAGGTTTTATGGCAGTGCTGTAATTTAGCATTCCTTGGCATCTTTTAAAGGAAGCTGGGGTTTCAATAAAATAATTTTTTTTTCACTGTAGCAGGGTCCTGACTGGCTCCTGTGCCTCTGAAGGCATGGATTCAAAGGACTCTCCTATCAATATTCAAAAATGACAGACTGATCTGGGTGATCAAAGTAATTTACTTCTTGGGTACAAACCTCAAACATGTCTGCAGAGAACCCCAAGGAGCACTGTGTATAACGCTGTAAAACCGTTATACAAGCCTAGTATAGCCCACTACCTAACTAGGTACATGACTGTATATGGAAATTCTTTTTACTTTCTGCTCAATTTTCTTCAAATCCAAAACTGCTTTAAAAAGTAGTTTATTGGGCTGGCTAAATGGCGCGTTGGCTAAGAGCTGGCTTGGGACTCCAGAGGGCCCCGGTTCGGATCCCACATATGAGGGCCAGTGACACTGCCCTCCATAGCTAAGATGCTGAACAACAGCTCAACCTGGAGCTGGGTTGCCGTGAGTCACCGGCAAAGGCATAGGCTGCAGCTCCTGCTGCAGTGGGTTGCCATAAGCTACCATGAGTAGCCAGCAGCCAGTAGAGAGTGGCTGTCCAGAAGCCGGCAACTGATGTGCCTCGCCCGGGAAGAGCACAATGATGGTGCCAACTTGGGCCAGTGAAACAACGTCCTCCATAACTAGACTGAAGAACAAAAGGACAGCAACTTGTCTGTTCCTCTTCCCCCAACTCCCTAATAAAATAAAAAAATCTTTAAAAAAGAAAAAAAAGAGTTGGCTTGGGACACCAGCTCTGAGCAGCAGGGCCCCGGTTTGGATTCCACATGTGGGCCAGTGATGCTGTGCCTTCTACAGCTAAAATGGTGAACAACAGCTCGACCTGGAGCTGGGCTGCTGTGAGTCATGGGAGACGGCATAGGCTACAGTGGGGCTGGCCAGCAGTGGGCGTGAGCTTTTGCAAGCTGCCCCAGCACTGTTCCCATCCCCTAATTCCCCAATAAAAAAAAAAAAAACAAAAACCAAAAGACAGCAACTTGTCTGTTCCCCTTCCCCGATTCCCCAACACTGTTCCCCTCCCCCAATTCCCCAATAAAATCTTAAAAAAAAAAGTATTAATGTATATTGAAAAATGCATAAAGCCACAAGGACAAAGAACATAGACAGTAACAAAAAAGAAAATTTGACATTTTAGAAACTGGGAAAGCCAATGGAGGAATGGTAACTGACTTAACAGGCCAGAAAAAGACAACTTCTGAGCCAGACGGGAGAAAGCAAATAAAATGCAAGATAATTTCTATAGCAGAACCCAAGAAAAATCTCAGGAACTACAAACAAATGATCTCTGGTGCAGAATAAGAGAAAAAAGAACAGGAGGATTGCTAAAGACTTTAAAAGGAAAAGTTACACACTCCATAAAGTCCCTTCTCTACTTCACACAGCCAATGAACTACCCCTCTGGCCACCCTCCAGGACAACTGCCTAAGATTGGAGGTTTACTCTTTGGAGAGACTGAACAAAAAGGACCAAGACTTGGAACAGCAGAGGGTAAAAGTGAGAAGTCATGCCATACTTAAAAGAGGGAAATTTAGAGAAACTCTCCTACATAGATAACCTCACAACTTCTTTTTCTGCTTGGTTCTCAGAAGTCAAGCAGCCAAGTTGGTAATCCCAGGTATCAAACTGAAGAATTCCTCTCCTAGGTCATTGCCTGTCCTTAAAAGACAAACCTGTGGAGGTTCCAGTCAAGATGGCTCAGTAGGTAAACACTGTGCTTACTTTCTCTCACGACCAGATCAAAATTACAACTAAACTACAAAACAATTGTCATAGAGAATTGCCTAAAATCTTGCTGAACCGAAGCTGTACAACTAAGGACATGCAGAAGTGACCTCAAGACTGGTAGGAGGGACAGAGACTCAGAACAGGCTGATCCCACGCCCATATGTGACCATTAAAAATCAGGAGGGAGGGCCAGCCAAGTGGCTCAGTTGGTTAAGAGTTGGCTTGGGAGCGTGAGCTCTGAGCAGCAGGACCACCAATTCGGTTCCCACATGGGCCAGTGACACTGCGCCCTCTACAGCTAAGATTGTGAACAACAGCTCAACCTGGAGCTGGGCTGCTGTGAGCTACTGTGAGTGGCCACGCAGCCAGCGTGAGCTGCCATAAGCTGCTGTGAGCGGCCGTCCAATGGCCCGCAACTGACTGCCTCAGCCAGGAAGAGAGCAATGATCATAATACCATCATGGGCCAGTGAAGCGACATCCTCCACAACTAGACTGAAGAACCAAAGGACAGCAACTTGTCTGTCCCCCTCCCCCAATAAAAAGAAAAAAAAATCATAAGGGATATTTCAGCTGTGGAGGTTCCCCCCACCGGAGGAGCAAGAGATCCCAGTCCCACCCCAGCCCAGTGTGCCAGTGCCGGGGAGAGAAGTCCCCATAATTTCTGGTTGTGAACACCAGCAGAGAATGTGACTGAGTGAGAAAGAGGGTGGCTGCATTCACAGGCACTCCTCCTAAAGGGACTGCGCCCGACTTACCAATGGAATCACTGGCTCTGAGCTCCAGCACTGGGGCAGCAGCTGGAAAGGCATGTGGACATATGGGAAGGAACTGAGACATGGCTTTACGATGGGGGCTGGAAGGGCAGCTTTTTTCTGGACGGAGGAGCTGGCAGAGGCCATTGTTACTTTGTTGAGCCCTCCCCCTTCCCTTTGTGCAGATGTTGACATCTGCCATATCTGAGTCTCCATCAAACTGGCCATCACCATTGGTTCACCACACCCTGATGATTCAAGACCCCACCCTGCCCAACTTTTGGGCACACCCAAGCCACTTCGAGTGGCTTTTTTTGTACAAACCACCTGCCTTAGTTCATGCTGTAGACTTTCCTATGGTCTCTCAAAGGTTCACGGAACACAGACAAACCCAGCATCTGGCTTGAATATGTCCTATACTTCTGGCTGAGCAGCCCTAAGCCCAGCACTAGCGATAGCCAGCCTTGGTTCACAGCTTAGCCTCCCGAGGCACTTCCAAACATGGCATGAGTGGCAGCCATCTGCAGATTTCTTTGTGGCTCCTGCTAGGTGGCCCCAGGTGGGGCATGAGCTGCGGCTAAACTTGACCTGCAACGAATCCCCTCCAAGGTGGTCCTGGGGCTGGCGCCCCCAGTGGCCAGCTTCAAAATGATCTGAAACATCACCCATCTGCCTTCAAGGACAATAAACCCAAGGTGCGGATTGGGCAGGCACCAGAGCCCTGCTGAGGCAGATCCTGCTCTGCAGGGGGTCAGCCCCTGCACCACAACTCCTCCACTATAGTCACAGACAGTCCTCA